CTATCTATCTATCTATCTATCTATCTATCTATCTATCTATCTATCTATCTATATATATATATATATATGTGTGTGTGTGTGTGTGTGTGTGTGTGTGTGTGTGTGTGTGTGTGTGTGTGTGTGTGTGTGTGTGTGTGTGTGTGTGTGTGTGTGTGTGTGTGTGTATGTGTGTGTGTGTATGTGTGTGTGTGTGTGTGTGTGTGTGTGTGTGTGTGTGTGTGTGTGTGTGTGTGTGTGTGTGTGTGAGTGTGTGTGTGTATTTTTCTGTCTGTATGCAGTATGTGTATACATTTTAATTTTTAAGATGTGTATTAAATTCTCTATGCAAACAGAAGGCATAATTTTATATGCACTTCAAAGTGCATGAACAATGCGTATATTAACCCATTAAAAAATGTTTTCTTGAAAAAGTATTAAATGATTACTCATGGCCTTCAGACATGCATTTGCATGATGCGTGCCTGTATATATCTTATAAATAAATTATGTCGAAATGTATACTAATATGATTGATATTGATGAAGATGATCATTGAAAAAATAGAAAAAAATAAAAAAATAAAACAATGCTACAATTTTCTTGACGGCCGTAATGTTATATCGGTCACAGCTTGAGTGCTATCAGTAGGGTCCTGGCTACGGATTTCGATATCACGATTGCTGTTGTGACAATGATAATAGCAACAATGGTAAGGTAACAATAGCAAGGCATGCCATATTTATGATCGATGAAAGTGCCACGACAATGAAATCTGATGTATATATCTATTTTGATGAGTTGTTAATATGTGTAGTACGAAATCAACAATTCTTAGTGAAGTTAATGATTATTGCTGATTGACAAGGGAGAATGGTGACCATAAATATGAAAGGGAATTGGCGTTCACATTGCATATTGTGGGCGTGGTGATTTGTAGATTTCAAAGAAACCTCCCCTTGATGGCAGCAGTGTGATAACGGGAATATTACTTATGAAAACACAGGAGTTAATATCATCATTAGCAAAGCAGCCATGGCTAGTATTAATTGCAATAAACATAGTAATAATACAAAGACCCATAAATATGGATATATTATCCCCGACTTATAAGTAAAGCAATGCTGACATGAATCGTAACACGCATGCAAAGAAGCAGAAGAGTTATTAGGATACTGTCAAGACCATATAATGACGAGGAAGAGGACGAGGAAGTCCGTGTGACGGATGACTGCAGAGGGAGACGTGTTGTATGGAGCCAGAAGGAAGTGGCCAGTACATAGCATGGCGAGTGCAAGAGCTATCAAGTGCCAGCGTCCCTTACTGCCTGATTTTAGCTGATTATAGAACTGGTTCCAATATATGGCCAGTTATGACTGATATTTGAGGATCATGAATATCAGAATTGGGGAAAGATTTGTTTTATTCAATGCATAATGTTGCAGGTCTTGCAATACATTTTGTCAAAGCTGCAGGGTTGAAAATCCTGCTGCGTGTCCGTATCGGCGGTTTAGAATAGTTTCAGATGAGAGTCATATACATTCTTCCTTGGTAGTTATACTTGGTATTTAGTGATGATCAACTCTTATAGTATGTGGTAATGCTCATGACTCACGCTCACTCCAGACAACCCGTTCACTCATACTTCTGATTACTCAATTCATTTCGTAAAGTACATATCTGCATCATCTTCCCCTCGTATAATCCTAAATATGGTGTTTACGCATAAGAATCATTACAAAATATCCCGATCAAAATCGCTCTTTGAGATAAGTTTCTTAATGTGATCAATACAAGAAATAGTATTTGTCCCATCAGACCTTCGATAACCCCGCGGTCCCTTGAGAGCTGCGGACATGACGTCACTCTGACAAAACAGTAAACATGGCGAACGTTCAGGTGGGTTGATCTTCCTATCTCTCCTTTTATTGTCTACTCGTACGAATAAATGGGCCAAGCGACATCAGGGGATAGTCTTTAAGTATAGTGTTAACCGGTAGATATATTGAAAACCAATTGTGTGTACAGAATATACAGAATAATGACAAATGAATTAGAAATTTTAAATCCAGGGGATGAAACTGCCACCAAGGCAAGTGTCAGTGATGTGACGGTAAGTCGAACAAAGTCTGTTTTATCTTAAATGTCAGCAGATTAGTTCTATTTGTATTTGAAAATATTCCTCAACAAATGCCACTGATTTCACCAACACTTAGTGAATTTCTTCGGTTTTGTCACTCGAGCATGACACTCAACGTCTTCGTTGAACCTCCATGCACTTCGCCCTAACAATGACGTCTTTGAGTGACGTGAGCATCAGAGACCATCTGAAAACCGAGAGCATTTGAAATGCGAGAATGTGGCATGTAAAGGAATTGGCGAACACGTGACTAAGCCTGGCACTTTCGAGGAGCTCGTTGCAGGAAAAGAATTTACTATTTATGTTAGATAGCCCAGGAGGATCTAGAGCTTGACAGAAGTCCAGGGGTAGGATACAACATACATTGAAAACTTATTCTATTTTATTCTGAACAAGTTTTGCAATTACATGCATTTCTGAATGGACTGACAGCATGTGCAGTTATGTATGCATTGATGTAAATAAGCATAGTAATTTAGAAGTAGATATTGGGTATTTGTTAATGAGAGCAATGCACCCTCCTGAGAAGTCCCAAAACCCAATTTAGGTATCCAAACCTAACCCTTCCTACCTTCTACTTATTCCCTAGACGGGAGGAGAAGCCCCCTTGTACCCTCCTTTATTAGCACTTTGTGCCAACTTATAGAAAACAGACATAAAGAATTCTGGCAATGTGAAGGTGTTGTGGACTTAGTCTTTGAGTGGTGAAATGCAGTAGATATTTTCATTATTTCACGGTAAATATGAGACCACAGCCACTGTACCTGTGTTGTTTATAATTCTATTTCTTATGGATAGTGTCCATTCCTCATTATCTCTACTCTTGGTACCATTAACCAGATATTGTGGTTAACTGTTTTTCCTTGTAATTGTAATGTTTCAAGGAATTTTGATTACGAAAAAAAATCAGAAATAATGATGGTTATTGTTTATGAAGTGACTGCACCCCTCAGAATCTAAGTCCTTGTTACTTCAGCCAGCAACCATGGAGGCATTCTTGGAAATCTTCAAACATCACTGTATGAACCAAAAACATTCCTAGCCAGGGGCCGTGCCCCTGGACTCTCACCTGATTGCCATATTTTCCTAGATAGGGACTCTATCCCTGGCCTCTCACTCAATTGCTGTGGACTATGGACTCTATGTTGCATATGTCAGGACTTATTATTGTTATTTTTTTTATTGGTGCTTTTATTCTTTGCTTGTGCAGATCATTTTGTATGAATGTAGTGTTTTCCTCCCCATCTGACTGTAGCCTTTCAGGTAGTGCAGTCATTATATAGATAAATATCTACAGAATTCTGCTTGCTATCAAAAGTGTAGTCCTTACATGGGATAACTTTTACTTGTGAGGTCAAAAAATGTGTTATCCCCATTTCATCACCAT